GATTCAAATGATATGTTAGCATATTCACAAGCAACAATTGACGTAAGCAATCCTTCATCGATTAAAAGAAAACTATTTGATTCTCCAAGCGAGCCAAGGAGAAGTCAAAGAGTGAAGAAAACGAAAGACTTCGGTTCCGATTTTGTAACTCTCTTAGTAGAATGAGATAGGGAAAAGGTTGTGAATAAATTACCCATGTTATTTTACTTGGATGAATATCCAAGGACGTTCAGCGAGGCAATGACATCTAGAGATGCATTATTTTGGAAAGAAGCAATTAATGATGAAATTGATTCAGTTATTGCTGACAATACATGGACGTTAGTTGACTTGCCTCTTGGATCAAATCCAATCTGATGCAAATGGGCATTTAGAAGAAAGTATAATCTAGATGGTACGTTACAAACCTTTAAAGCAAGGTTAGTAGCAAAGGGTTATAAGCAGAAAAAGGGAATTGACTACTTTGATACATATGCACCGGTTGCTCAAAAAACATCCATTAGAGTTCTGTTAGCTTTGGCATCAATTTATAGATTGCATGTGCATCCAATGGATGTTAAAACAGTTTTTCTAAATGGTAAACTAGAAGATGAGGTGTATATGGAACAACCTAAAGGTTTTGTTCTACTTAGAAATGAGAATATTGTTTGTAAGTTAAACAAATCATTATATGGTTTGAAGCAAGCACCGAAACAAAGGCATGAACAATTTGATTCAGTGGTTTTATCATATGGATTCAAGCATAATAATGCTGATAAGTGCATTTACTCAAAATTTACCAAAAAGTATGGAGTTATAATCTGTTTATATGTTGATGATATGTTGATTATTGGTACAAATATGCATGGTATAGATGAAACTAAAAGGCATCTATATTCTCAATTCAAAATGAAAGATTTGGGAGAAATAGATACAATTTTAGGTATCAAAGTGATCAAACATAGTGGGGGTTATGCTTTAAGTCAATGCCACTATGTGGAGAAAATTATTCAAAAATACCAGTATTTGGAGTTAGAGATTCTAATGTATCATATGATGTATCAATTAAATTGATGGAAAATACTGGACAACATTTAGCACAATTAGAATATGCTAATGCAATTGGAAGTCTGATGTATGATATGCATTGCACTAGACCAGATATAGCCTATATTGTGTGTAAATTGTCCGGATTTACTAGTAATCCTAATATTGTGCATTGGAAGACTATTAGTAGAATTCTTGGTTATTTAAAGAAAACAATGCATTATGGTCAATTTTATGAAAGACAACCGGCAGTACTAGAAGGATATTCAAATGCTAGTTGGATAACTAGCACGATTGATAACAAGTCAACATCTGGATGGGTCTTCAAGCTTGCAAAATGGTGCAGTTTCTTGGGCATCAAAGAAGCAAACATGTACAGCTCATTCAACAATGAAATCCGAATTTATATCAATATCGGTGGCTGGTAAAGAAGCTGGATGGCTGTGGAATTTGCTATTGGATATAGAGTTGTGGCAACAACCAATGGCAGCCATATCTTTACATTGTAATAGTGAGGCAACTATGTCTAAGGCATATAACAAAATATACAATGGAAAATCTAGACATATTAGTTTGCGATATGAGTATATTCGACAATTAATTACTGATGGAATTATTTCAGTAATTTATGTTCAGACAAATAATAACTTGGCTGATCCATTCACTAAAGGACTCTCAAGAGGTTTAATAAGCAGCATTGCCACGGGAATGGGTCTTAGACCAATTGATAATAGTCAAGCATAGTGGAAACCCAACTTTATAATTTCTAATGAAATTATTAAAGTTAAATGGGTAACAACAGGCTATTATAACTTGACGGTGATCTAGTACTGGGGCATAAGGTTAGTATTCATGGAAAGTTAGAAGGGTGAGTGTAAGAAACACTCTTAATGAAGTTCAAGGTTTTAGCAAGGCAATGCTAAGTTAATAATTTAGGAACTTCACCTATATGAACGTAAGAAGTGGTGCCACTTCTAACAAACGTCGGATGAACTTTTGTATATGTTCATGAATGCAAGAGGGAGCACAAGGCCATAAAAGTGCTTAGGCATAGGAAATTTCCAACCGAATGTGTATAAATTCATATGTGTGATAATTTGATTAACAAGCAGAATCATGGTTCAAAGTTTATCTACCATTGATTTCGTTAATGGAATTATTTACACTAATTGAAGGTTCAAATCTTAAAAGATACCTTCTTGTATGTATGAATTTATGTAAATTAGTGCAGATAACAAACTAAGTGGGGGATTGTTGAAATAGTTTATTATCATAAAAGATGTGACTCTTGGTTAAGAGAAGATGTGACTTTTGATTATGAAAGGAGGTGACTTTCGTCCTAAAAAGAAGTTATCGGTGGTTATGAACAGAAGTTATTCTTAACGTGAAGAGTGGTGATGGTTGGGGATAATGTACCTATTCCCAAGAGGTGTGTTGATTGGTTATCTGTTAATAGAGACAAAATCACACATTATTTATTATAACCACAACTGTTCATAACTACAACTTCTTCGAAACTCTCTCTTTTTCTCTTTTCGTATACACAACTTTAACAACACATTCAAGGTGAAATTCCAAGAGAGAAATTAAGTAATTGCTGAACTCGTTTCTCTGCGGCTTTAGTGTATATCCTGGAGGTATATTTATTCTAAACCCGTTAGCAACAATAATGGGGGCAAATGATACCTTAAGGACAATGATTGTCATCACGTATCAAAGCATTAAGGATCTATTATTATTTATCTATCTTCATTAGCAATCAAATTTTGCCAACAGTGCACTCTTAACCTATTTCATGATGAGATTATACATGAAAATTTCATTTTGAAGAAAAAGCATTTTCACAAATGGCTATTAAATCATGAGATGATTGCTTGAGAGTTACTAGTACACATACCGAATTCTCACACATACGCATCTATCTATAGTATTGTTTAAAAGAGAGATTCCTCTATCGCCTCTCAACTCAAAAGAAAAAACTAGACATGTTCTTTGCTTCGTTTGTTCATTATTTGAAATTTTAATTGGCCTCCCCGACCCAATTCGGCGTAAATGGTACGTGTAGCGCACATTCGGTATAGTCTCATTTAATGAAGAACGTGGAGAATTCCTTCCACGATCGCCTGACCCCATAAAACTCCAAGTAATCCACTCGGAGTTGTCTATTTTCCGTCAGCAAAACACATTAAAATTGCCTGTGAAGATCAAAAAAATGAGCGAAACAACGTCGCATCGAATTAGCTTGCATCACGGAATCCAGAAACACTTTTTTGGACGTGGGGTTGCACTCACTTGGCGCACTTGCGATTTTCAAAACGGTAAGAACCGTAAAGAAACTAGAAAATCATGAGAACATCAGCAAGAAAGAAAAAAAGAGACATGTTTGCACTTCATTTAAGGAAAGAAGAAACCAGAAAGAACCTTTGAAGCATGATGATGATGGTGAAGCAGCGTCCAGACGAGTGTCGAACTCCTGAAGAGAACGCGCCATTGATAACCGGGAACGAAAGGGTTTGGAGCGTGCAGAAGAAGACGAAGGTGAAGAAAGAGGCCGAAGTGGCAAAAGCGAGTGTTGCAGTGGCTTCTCGTGAACTTGACCTATGGCGTTGACACGTTCTCAAAGTTCAGTTTTCGTTGCGTTTGTGCACTCGACACGTTGGTTTTCTAGGGGGAGGAGACCTTGCCATTCTGCTCTGTGTCTTATCTTACATGAACAGGCAAAGTGATATATACTGAATATTTACTTAATTATTAGTCCCAAAATCTCCGATCTAGTTTTATTAATTAGATGGTAAGATTCCAATTATCATATTAATATTGATGGATATGAATATGATTTCCACGTGCACTGATTAATTTTCTTTAGACCTTTAATAGTTTGGCATTTCTAAATTTTCGCATCATTTTGCCACTTCCCTTATAGGACTCCTAAAAAGAAGAGCTTCCTCCTCCTACGACCAGAGTCTAATTGGAAGATTAAAGAGGGCATATTTCCTCATGTCTCTTTTGTCCATGAGATTAAGTTTCAATCATCCTGTTAGTTTGAAGAACTATATCTTTGCACAGAAAATGAAAACTGCTCAAATTTGTAATCTTGCACTCTGTATGTTCCGTCATCCCCATTGAGTGAAATTGTTCTGTTCTGTTACTTGACTATGAAGAAAGTTTTGTGTTGCTCCTATAATGAACGAGCAATTGTAAGTAATTTCCTTTCTTCCTCAGGCTCAAGGAGCATAGAGAAAGGCTATGGATCAGAAGGTTTCCCTGAGGAGAATAATGGAGTTTCTTGAGTTCGATTGATGGATATAAATGGCTCTAGTAGCTTAGATGAAAACCATATATGGAGTGATGACCGCAAATTGGATGGAATGGCATATATTAACTAAACCAGATTTACTTTCGTTTCTGTTCTTTCTTTTTCCCCTAAAGAGCACAAAGTGAGCTATCAAGGCTTCTCTTTCACTGCGTGTTCAATGACTCTGATTAGCAAAAACATGGGATTACTCCCACTCAGTGTGCTCGTCAAGCAGATAGCATTATAAGTTGAAGATCCAGTACCTGTTTTTGACAAACTGTGTGATTATTGTCATTGTCAGCAAGTGAAATTCGGCGTATAAGGTTCAGATCTGGTCTTGGTGAGGCACGTTTTAGTGGTGTGCACTTTCTTTCGTAAGTGACCAGCAATTGCGATGGTAAAGAACCCAGGGTTTATGACATGTATGTGCCAATCTTTAATGTTCATACCATCAATGATCAAAAGTTTGCCTCTTGACAGTGATAACAGATCAATGTCCTAAAGACCATATAGCTGCGGTAAGAGTCATAGCTGTTGAATCTACAAACCAATTTATGGATATACAGCTTAACAGAGCCGTGCAATTCATTTAGCACAGCACGAGAGACGAATGTAATCACACGTCGAAATTAAGACTGTCGGAAGTGCAGGATTCCTTTATTATCTCAAGTACTAAATGTATGAAAACACATCATCTCCTCATTATGTAACATAAGTATTGTTATTGTTGCCATTTATTTTATGCTCAATTAAGGATTCAACAGCACCAAGCATACATCAGAGATGTACCCAACACATAAACAAGCTACAGCATGGGAACTGAATCCTCAAACAGGCAGGATGAGAATAGAGAGGATAGGCTCCAGATTGGGAAACCGAGAAAGAAACTCGGACCGCTTAGCTAACTCAAAGTCCTGGAACTGAAAGGCCGGCGCACAAGTACAACCCACCAGAGAGTAGTGTTTCTCCGCATCCCTCGGGGCAGTTTTGAGCACAGAACCATCTGGAGAGATGGTATAGTCTTTCGTCGGAAAAGAACCGAACCACACATTTGGAGGCACTGTGTACTGTGGTTGCTGATTGTCTCCAACCAGGTCGGATCCAATGCAGGTTAATTTGACACTTCCATCTTTGTCATTCAACTCCAATACCTGCAAAAAGGATTTTGTGCGAAATCTTCATCTTTTCTTTCAGCACATAGCTAAGTGCCAATATACTAAGGAACTGAAGTAATTTTTCGTAAAATGGAAAAAATTCTCAATTGAGAGTAGAGGCAAACTGAAGCAAATCATTCCTATCAAAGATATGACAAACTGGAATTTAGCCGTACCGTGAGAGGTTCTCCCAGATAAAAATGCCAGGTCTCGGCAGAAGGTATTCGGTGGAGGTGCGAGACACTCCCTGCCGGCAGCATAAAGTAGATGGATGTGCTCACGGGTCGATCAACCTTGTCTGGAATTAAGTGATTCGAAACAATTCAGTATATTTGTGATGAGAAAAAGAGGAAAATAACTAAAAGCAAATGATTTCCTGGCATTGTCGTGAACTTGTGGTCTGTCACTAGAAAATAATTAGCAAAAACATCGAGCATAGACACAGAAAGACCAGTAATTTAGACCAATGATTTGACTGCAACTCTCATCAGATATTGAATTTTATTTCGCAATCACAAATTTGTGTTTTTTTTTCCTTTCCCTGATCAGTAATCCAATACCCAGATGGATGAGCCAATAGTAGCAACACTCGGATCGCTATAAATTCACTCATGAAGTTAAAAAATCACAACTTTAGATAATTCCCACATCAGCAATCACCATCTGCAGCTCATCGCACCCTATCCAAACAAAATACAATGATCCATTGGAAGAAACAAAAGAAGACAGAGATTGGAATTGGGAAGTTGCAAGCTTTTTAGGACTTAAAACAAATGGAAATAAAGTTGCAGACCTCAAGTGCGTGCACGATCGAGAACTTACATTGAGGTGGAAGCTGAGATCTGGAGAGGAGAACAGAAGTGTCCCTGAAGGTCTCGGAGTAAAACCCACCTTCCGGGTGGGGCGTGAGCTTCAGTTTCTCCACAATCTGCGACGTTGTTGCAGAACCCATTTCCGGGCTTTCTTTTCTCTCTCTGGTATTTTTCGCTTCACGAGCACTGAAATCTACCAAACCAAGAAGAACAGATGGAGAGTTATGCACTGGCAATTTTTGTAGATGTGGGTTGACCGTGGTAGGTGAGGATTGAATTGAATGGAACGTTCAAACAGATTCAGCAGCAGCAATTGTCAAAAGGATCATGGTGATGAGGCCACCAATCGCATGCTGGTTCCAGACGGTCCAGGCCCGCTCAGACTTTTGAACGGGCTTGGTGGGCTTCTTTTATGTTGTGATTGATCTTTCTGGTCTGGGATAAATGTTTGCATGCCAAACATTAATGACGTGATGAGTTGCAGGTTTGATTATAGATTAAAGGAACGTGCAATGCCATCCTATTTGTTTTAGATCGCTGCAAATTAAAGGGTCTATGGTTACGTTTTATAAATTGTTGAGGTTTCACGTTGTAAAATATGATGTCGCAATTACTATTGAATTTGAGTCGTATTCCGTGTAATCATGTGACATTTTGGATATAAAACCATCGTGCCGCAACCCATTTTCCTTGGAGAGAGAAGAGGAAGATTTTTACAGGAAACAAAAGAGGTCTGAGCAGAACTGTGAAAGAAAATTTTGGGTTAATATTGCGAAAAACCCTAAACTGATACGCATATGACAATTTTACTCTGAACTAATTTTTTGACCACCAAAAACCCCAAACTGGTACACTTGTGATAAATTTACCCTCAGTTTATTTCCGTTAAATTTTACTGTCAAATTATTTTATTAAATGATACGCGGCAATTGACGGATGTACCAATTTTATGTTTTACCCTCCGTTTGTCACAGGCGTACCGGTTTATGATTTTTTGAGGTATTAATTCAATTTCATGGAAACTAACGGAGGGTAAATTTGTCGCAAATGTACCAGTTCTGAGTTTTTAATGGTCAAAAAATTAGTTTGGGGTAAATTTGTCACAGGTATACCAGTTTGAGGTTTTTCGTGGTCAAAAAATTAATTTTGGGTAAAATTGTCACAGATGTACCAGTTTATGATTTTTCGTTGTATTAACCCGAACATTGTTGCACAAATCATAGGACAATGTAGCCAGAGATCCCATGGAAAACCAATGCACTTCTCTTTTTTTTGCTAAAACCAATGCACTTCTCAGGTAAAAGGAAAAAGATTCACACACTGTACAAAAAAGAGTGAAGGGGCTGTCTATTGCAGAATCTACGTTTGAAGGCAGTCAAGACATTTCTTATGGAATTCAAATTCAGAGACTCAATCCTCGGTCACAATCTCATTGTAGCACAGGCTTGACAAAGAAATCCTTCTCCTGGAAATCGAGGGGTGATGCTTTTCACACTGAGCTTCCCTACTATGAAAGGGTAATGACAAAGCAAAAATAAGTTTGAATCAAAGATCGAGATTCGATAAGCTGTAAGCTATTGGTGGAAAGTAGCCACAAGCCTCGCCTTCAAGGCCACCCTTAACGTTCCGTCTTCCTCGGGAAAGGATGATACAATCAGTGTATCTTGGCCTAAGCATCGAGTGGCAGATTCCAAGTGTTGATAGTTACGGCACTCGATCAGGGAACGAGCAGAACTTGGGATTCAAGACGTTCTATCCTGTCAACTAAAAATGTCGATAGCACATGGAGTCCAGAAACAAAATTGCCTCACACTTGTAACTCTTCCAATTTTGTAATTGCTTCTCTCAGGTCAAGCCGATAATCGGGGTTCTTCTCTGTGCAGGCAGCTCCTATATGTAGGAGTCGCAGCATCTCACTTTTTGACTCTATCGATCCTGCTATCTCTGGATCAATGACTTCGGCCTCCCTTTCCTCTGAGATCGCTGTGTGAACCAACATCACAACATCAGTTCCGCTCTTCCCGCTGTTGATATACTGAGAAGGGAACTTCCCTGTGAGGACTTCGAGGATGATTAATCCGAGACAATAAACATCACACTTCGGTGAGATGCTCCCTTGCTGCGAAATCTCTGGCGCCTTATATGCAAACAAGGTTTGCGCAGCTTGAGAGGGGTTGATCAGGGGATGCAAGCCGTAGTCATTGAGCAATGGCTCATGATCTGAGCTCAGAAGAATGTTGCTTGACTTGAGGTTTCCATGAGGCAGGTCGTAGGATGCAAACTCTGAATGGAGAAAAGCTAGTCCGCTCGCGACTCCCTGAACGATCTTCAACCGGGTTGGCCAATTCAGCTCTCCGTGACTAATTCCACGATCGCCTGAAGAATCAAAGTATGTAATATCAGAAATTGGCAAAACATTAGATTTCATCAACAGTTTGAGGGGATTGTATAAGATAAATTGAATCTTTCATGAAATCTTTCATCTCCTCAATATTAACATGTTATGATAACAAATGTGCTCGTGGAAATATCATTTCCAAAACTAGCAGAAGAACGTATGTTCATATTAGCGTACCATGTAATATGTATAACAAGCTGCCCTTAGGAATGTATTCCGAAACCAAGAGCTTCTCTTCTCTCCTAAAATGGTAGGCCAGTGGTGTCAGTATATTTGGATGCCGTAAATTAGCATAACGTCTAATCTCGGCATCGAACTCATCTTTCTCTAAAGCATTCATTTCCCGCATCCTCTTCACCACCACGGACAAGCCGTTCGACATCACGGCCTTGTATGCAGAACCCAACCCACCGTTTCCGAGCACCTCCGCGGAGGCCCTCATTAGATCAGCCAATCCGAATTCACCCTTCTCGTCACTCAGCATCACGAGATTTCCCAAACCGTGCTTGCTGCTCTGAGCCTTTCTTTTTGACACACTGCCTTTCTTGCTAGACCCTGTTCTCATGGGCTTCACACCGGGGATCGGGACTGGGACGACCTCGCGGACGTTCTCTTTCCCTAAAATGCTGAAATCATCATCCCTTCTACGCCTGGAAGAAACTATTGCAGTCAGAAGAATCACGGCAGCCACCAATCCCGCCACTGTCCACAGAATCACGCTGAGCCCTTCACCGCTTTTCTGTTCATTGAGCGGTGGAGGTGGCGGAGGCGGTTTGACAGATATCGTCTCAGTGCTAGGCGTTTCTTTGCCAGGGCAGACTTTATCAAGTGGCTTCCCACAAAGTCCAGGATTCCCTTCGAAAGACTTGGAATTGAATTTTGACAAACTTTCCGGGATTTCACCCTCCAACTTGTTGTCCGACAGGTCCAGGGAAATGAGCTTCTCGTGCTTAATCACAGGAATGCGCCCTGAGAATTCGTTCCCTTCAAGGTGAAGCTCCATAAGGTTGGAGAGTTGCATCAGGGACTCTGGTATGTTCCCTGAGAAGTTGTTATTAGCGAGCCAGATCTTCTTGAGAGACGCCATGCGCTGAAAAAAGTCGCTCGGGATTTCCCCGGAGAACTGGTTCCTGGATAACAGCAGGGACTTTATCGTACCCAGGCGATAGAATTCTGGCATTGGACCCTCGAAGAAATTGTTCGTGAAGCTGAGAGTCCTGAGGCCAGGTAAGTTCTGCAGTGCATCGATGTCAATCTGTCCGGACAAGCCCATGGCAGAAAGATGGAGCCCCGTGATGATTCCATCAAAGCAAATGATGCCGATCCAACCATCGCACGGACGCGATCCAGAAGCCCATGAATCCAAAGCATCGACATTCCCTAAAGACCTCTTGAATTGGAGAAGAACATCTTCGGGTGCGGACAGAGACAATGTTGTGAAGGAGATGATAAGGAGGGAGAGGAGGACAGGGTAAACAGCAGCGAAAGCCATTTCCAGTCGAACCTTATCACCGCCGCGCAAGAATGCATGTTATACAGGATTAAACTATTCTTATATTAAACATTTCATAATGTATGATGAAGGAGAAAATTTGGAGTCTGTAATTCTTCTTCCAGGTCACGTAGTTTCTCCGGGTGGCTGCTTTGACAGATTATTTTGATTGATTTGGTTTTGCAGAAACATGTCAATTTCGGTGGATGGAATTGGCAAAACACCATGAAATTCTAAAAATAGGATTGGAAGGACAAAATAGAAGAGGGATCTATATAGAGAGGTAAATCATCACCTTCTCTTGACCAGGTCAGCTCCGAGGGAAAGCATATACTAGTAGGAACGTGGCAAACAACACAAGCTTTTAGCATTCCTGCTTCTATTATTTCTGTGCAAGGTCTAATCCCTCGAATATTACAGTGCCCCTGTAACAAGATTCTGCAAGTACCACCTCAAACAAGATTCGTGTCCTCAACAAAACTGGTATTCTCGAGGACTTCAATGGATCATTGGCCTCATATTTACATTGAGAATTACCAGCACTGAATGGCTTTAGATTTATGGAGCTAAAGCTTGCAAACAGGCCAAAGAATGCATCACCATGAGCAGGATCAGCCACTTATACAAAGAAGCGTGTAACAAAAAGATGAATGGAATTATATTGATCGAGAAAAGAAAACCAAGTTGGGGTTCCTGGTATGTACAGAGATTCTGCTCAAGTCTATTGAAACAACAGAAACAATGCCCCGGAGGCACGGACTTTTCAGCCGTAACTTCTCACCAGTATCTCTCTTTTTTCCTAAAATCGATCCTGCATTCACGTAACATCAACTGGACGTGAAAGCCTGCAGTGAAACATCGTTTCTTGAGGCTCATAATAAGCGAAAATCTGTTGCACATTCTATAAATGCGGTCTAACCAGCACAGTCCATGGAAAATCGAAGTAGATGAGATGAGACAATACCGAAAAAATGTTGCAGTGACCAGGGTCTGCAATGTGATTCAATAAGTTCTCAATGGGGCTGTCGCCTGTGTAAATGGCTTGGAACAAGAACCCCACAAATGCTAGCATCGCTAGGCGTCCATTTTTTATTTCCTTGGTCCTTAATACCATGACGGGCTCTGGAGAACCCCTCCCCCACATCAATGGATCAAACCAAAAGCCGCCAGGATAACCAACGTCAGGCTTTGGTTTCTTTATGTGTGGGAGCTTGAAATCAATGTCGACACTGCCCGGCTTAATCATATCAGCCCACCTTCTTCCCTCTACCCAACCCATCAAGGCTAATTGCACCACAAATAAGGTCGTGGTATCAGCAAAGTATTCTTGAGTGCCGGCATTGTACCATGAGTAGTTTTCTATGAAGCCTGCTCTTCCGAGCAATTCAGGAATCAGGATTCCAGCCA